AAAAAAGTTTTATATAAGTATATGCATTACAAAGGAAGTGTTTAATTAAGTATTTTATTTAAGGATTAAATATATATATATATATTTTTGTTTATATAAAATAATATTAATTATAATGATGTACAATTAAAGTAATTTTATTATTATTTCTTACTATGCATGCTATAAGAATGGGTTCAAATTTAGGAAAATCCTTGTTTGACCCATCAATATATTTGTAGAAAATTTGATTGAATAGAGCTTTCTCTTCTTTGAGTTGAAATGTTAAGAAAATAAAGTTTTTTAATTCAAATCACATAAAAAAAAGTTCAATTTGTGTTTTAAAAATATCAATACATTCTTAATAAGTTTATTCAATAAAGGTATTTAAATACTCTTAATATAGTCAAAATTACGTTTCATGTAATTAATAACAAAATAGAGTTGTTACCATATATAGTTTCATTCTTCTGCACAATTAATGTAACTTGATCTTGGGCTTGTATACAGAGCACATTAATTATTCAAATTGACCTTGCATATATAGTACAATTGATGTGATTATTGTTCCTTACGTGATTATTGTTTCCACTGTCCTTTGCCTGATTATTGTTCCTTACTTATAGTAGAAGGAGTTTTAGGTAGGAAATTACCTTTGTTCACATTGACTTATTCTTGATTCTTTAAAAATTTGGTTAAATTTTTAATTTAGTCCCTCAATTATTGTATGAATTTTTAATTTAGTTCTTGAATTAAAAAAATTCTTAATTTAATCCCTAAAATTTTTAAAGTTGGTTCTAAGTTGATTCTTTCATTAAAAAATAGGTGACGTATCTATTAACTTGACAACAAAAAAACCATTATTTAAAAGTCATGTGTCATGTTAGTGATGGGATACATCAATTATTTTTTAATAAAAAGATTAAATTTGAGTCAAATTTAAAATTTTTAAAGATCAAATCAAAGTTTTTTTAAGTTTAGGGATTAACTTAAAGATCTATACAATAGTTAAAAGACTAAATTGAGGTTTTATCTAAAAATCTTTCCCAACATGATCATAGAGCACCTTATTCCTTTTTATGATGAATATGAGATTAAGTAACATTTTTGTTCTCAAATAGTCAACCCGGGATCACCGGACAACTCTGTCCTAAGATTATTATTCTATTCTTAACTTGTAATTTCTTAATTTAATTTAAATTTTTTATAGTATAAGCAAAGAATAACATTCTTTCTACCTACCATAAAAAAAAAAAAAAAAACCATTCTTTCAACCAAACAAATCTCGAAAATTTTGATTCTTTAGGTGGTAAGTGCACATTTTTTAAATTCTATATAATTAAACAATTTTTTTTATTTTTAATTATACAATAAAGATCTTCTATCCTTAACTTATTTCTTCACATGTTATTGCAAGACAAATTTAAAATCTTTTATCATTGGATAAAAATTATTTAATTTCAAGAGTTAAATACTCAAATGGACTCTAGTTACTTAAAGCACACGAAGATAAGCCGTTAGGCTTACGTATGCCTATTTTCAAAAAAAAAAAAAAGGCTTACGTATGCCAATTATTGGCCCTTAACATTATTATTGGTTCCATGAAATGCTTGTGGATAAGAAGGAGAGGAAAAAATCATTAATTAAAGTTGGATCGTAAAGGGTGAGCACTGACGCCTATAAATACCATTGCAACTGCCCCGAGCTGTACTTCTTCATCCTTAGCTCCAAGCACATCAAAAGCTTTCTCAACCCATCATTTCTCTCCTTTAGCATATCCACATTTCCATTTCCGGCCTCCTGAAACCATGGTTGGGGCGGTAGAGACCGTAATAACGCCAGCAATGGTGAACGGGACGGTGGAGATCTTGGCTGTGGTTGCCAAGCCATTGCCTCCAGTTGTGGCGCAAAATGGTTCCCCCATAGAAGCCGAGGGAGAAGGAGACGCGAAGGCAAAGAAGAACAGGGAGATTGTGCTGGGAAAGAACGTGCACATCACGTGTCTGCCCGTCACAGAACCTGAGGCGAATGACGAGTTAACCGGTGAAAAGGAGGCTTACATTGCTAGCGTCTTGGCTCGCTACCAAAACACCCTCATTAACCGCACCAAGCACCATTTGGGTATAACTTAGTTTTTCTTTGGATTTGGTTGCAATTTACATACTTTCTTGAATGTTGCCTTCTCTTATATATTATCAAACTGTATGCTTGTTTTAGGCTATCCTTATAATTTGGACTTTGATTACGGAGCGCTAACTCAGTTGCAGCGTTTCTCTATCAACAATCTGGGAGATCCGTTTATTGAGAGCAACTATGGTGTCCATTCTAGGCAGTTTGAAGTTGGTGTCCTGGATTGGTTTGCCCGATTATGGGAAATAGAGAAGAATGAATACTGGGGTTACATCACAAACTGTGGTACAGAGGGTAATCTTCATGGAATTTTAGTTGGGTGAGTTTGATTTGTTTCCAAACCTAGCCTACTTAATTGCTGTTTAGAAATGGTATATTGTTGAGAACTGTGCATGTGGGCTCCACAGAAACTTTGCATTTAACCTGACAATAAGTGCGGTGGTGTTCCTTGTATGTAACCCACAAGTTTCTTACTTTAATATTAGATGGGGGATTTTCTCAATTCAACATGCCTCTCACAGACGCGCTACGAATGTCGAGCTCTATCACATGGGTTAACACGTCTCTTAAATATAGGTCCGGTCCTTTTCGGGCCTTAAATGCAAGCTGGGTACTCTTCAAGCCTTAAATGCAACCTCGGTACTCTTTGGGTCCTGTTAGGTGGATTAACAACAGGCACAATGGGTTTTTCAAGACAAAATTTGACTCCAATACTATGTTAAAAACCGTGCATGTGGGTTCAACACAAAACTTACATCCAACCTAAAATCAATTGACAATAAGTGGAGTGGTTTTTATTGTATTTAACCCACAAACTTCTTACTTTAATACTCGATGTTATATTTTCCCACTTCAACATGATGATGGATTTTGCAGGAGGGAAATGTTGCCGGATGGGATTTTGTATGCTTCAAGGGAGTCACATTACTCTGTTTTTAAAGCAGCACGGATGTACCGAATGGAATGTGTCAAAGTTGATACTCTGGTGTCTGGTGAGATTAATTGTGCCGACTTCAAAATTAAACTGCTTGCTAACAAGGACAAGCCTGCCATTATCAATGTTAACATAGGTCTCTCCCTGATTCTATCTCTCTGACACACACATACGAACCCTGCACAAAGACTTGAGTTCGTGGGCAGTGATGGGAATGGCTTGACGTCTTTAGTGATGATGTTTATTGCAGGAACAACTGTGAAGGGTGCTGTGGATGACCTTGATCTTGTAATACAAACCCTTGAAAAGAGTGGATTTTCACGAGATAGATTCTACATTCATTGTGATGGGGCATTGTTTGGACTCATGATGCCTTTTGTCAAACGTGTGAGTTAATGCATTTCTAACATGTAATGATTTGGAATCTCACATAGCTTTGAACCTTGATATATATTATTTTTTATGGTCAACAGGCTCGAAAGGTCAGCTTTAAGAAGCCTATTGGAAGCGTGAGTGCGTCGGGGCACAAGTTTATTGGGTGTCCAATGCCTTGTGGTGTTCAGATTACGAGGATTGAGCATATCAATGCCCTTTCAAGCAATGTTGAGTACCTTGCCTCGCGGGATACTACAATCATGGGAAGCCGGAACGGTCATGCTCCTATTTTCCTTTGGTACACACTCAACAAAAAAGGGTACAAAGGGTTCCAGAAAGAAGTCCAGAAGTGTCTCAAAAATGCTATCTATCTAAAGGACTGCTTGCGCAAAGCTGGGATTAGTGCAATGCTAAATGAACTCAGCAGTACTGTTGTGTTTGAACGACCTAAGGATGAGGAGTTTGTTCGTAGGTGGCAATTGGCATGTGAAGGAAATATTGCACATGTAGTGGTGATGCCAAATGTGACCATGGAGAAGCTAGATGCTTTTTTGAATGAGTTAATTGAAAAACGATCAACTTGGTATGAAGACGGAAGCATTGCACCGCCTCCTTGTATTGAAGCTGAAATAGGAAAAGAGAATTGTGCTTGTGCTTTGCATAAGTGTTAATTAAGACTAATTAGTTATTATGCTTTGCAATTGCTCCTCTGTTATGTTTGTAGCTTGAAAGCCGATTCTAGTAAAATTTAAGTTTCTTTCACCAGTTTCTGGCGTAATGCTTAAATACAATTCATAGGGACTTCTTCCTCGAGTTCCTTGTATTGTATTTCTGCAATATCGCAGTTCATGTACCCAAATAAAAATTCAATAACACCTGCAATGCCATTTTTCTTAAGCATAACCTCCTTAATTTTATTCTCATTGTTCTGTGATTTTCTGTGACCCGAAAACAGTCATGGACGTGCCAGCCACATCAATTGCTGTTGCTGTTTCGAATGTTACCAGATTTGCAGCATTCCCCTTTATAAGAACATGATATGTTAAGGTCATACTAATCTCTACTCGACAGGTTCTGTAAGTTATAAAGATAGGTTACTACAATCATCTAGCCATCAATAACCGAATAAGACCTAAGGTTTCCATGCAACACATCTCTAGTCAAGCAACACTCTTCACCACCTCTACCTGCAACAGATATACATATTCCTATGTACAAAAAGCTACATTAAACAAATTTTCTTCTGCATTTTTTGATTCCAACATGAGACTAGACCCTCTGGTCAAAGTCCATGAAGTGCGGGTGAGGCTGTCTGTTGAGAGTCTGGTTGTTGGTGGATGGTTGAGGCATCTGTAGCGGCTGCTGCTGGGTCTGAGGACCACCAAACTGATGCAAGACCGATTGCTGACCTGCAAATTGAGGAGGTAGTACCCTGTTGAAAGGATTCCCATTCATGGCTGACATTTGACTAGCTGTTATCTTAAGCCGCTGCACTTCTTCCTTCAAAGCGTCATTCAAGGCTGCCACAGCAAAGTATATCAACTACCGATTCTTGCATAATCATTCGATAATCAAGTGAACATTGGCATTAAAAAAGTGGTATCTTCAATTAAGGTATTTGAAAACAAACAAAAAGAAGAAATGGAAGCCCGCCACAGTGTCTTCCATGGCACTTAAATTTTTAGTTTATGCTCTTTTCTTTGGTTTTTATATGACTCTTTCTTAAAACGGAAAAAATCATTAGTCTGTTCAATGGCAGCAGCAAAACTTTGCTTGTTAACACATGAGACATACTTCCAACTCCTGAAGTACTGCTGACAATATAGAATAAAGATTTCAAAAGACATTAATACCATCTCTAAGTTGTGCTTCCTGTTCCATTGCCTGCAGTCGTAATTTGAGTTCCTTATTCTCAGCAGTCAAACCAGTAGTATCCCTCTGCAACACAAGAACATGTATGAGAATCAGTCTTCTTCCTTTAGAGTGAGTGCAGTAAAAGCAAGTAACAAATTCAAAGATGGAACAGGTTTTATCCAGGACATTAACAACTTCAGCACAAACAGACCCAGTATGACCAGAAAAACAGCATCATAACAGCATCATAACAAATGGTGAATCAAATCTAAGCACCCAATGACGGAAAATCAAGTCAGATAAAAGTAATCAATAACAATAAATAATAAAAAAGTATAACGCTAGTTGACAAACATCTCATGGAACTACTTGCCTTTAATCTTAAGTTGATTTGAGTTCCTTTTCATGGAAGAAATGCAGACAAAGACAGTAGAGATGTTATTAACTTAGAACTGTAACCAACTCTCAAGGAAATAAATGATTAAGTTTACCCCACATGCAAATAAATAAAATACAAAATGAGGAATATTTGACTTTGGTGATTGGATAACCGCGTACTAATCAGACAGACAATAAAAGAGGAAACTTGTAAATTGGTACGAGCCTACTAGACTCTCACATTCTAAAGAAATTCAGAGTCTTATGTTGAAAGCCAAAATTCAATACCTGCAACATTGTAACCTGGGCAGAGAGATTGGTAGCTTCTGTCTGAAGAGTCTGCACTTTCCTCTCCAGCTCGCCGGTATACCTAATTTTTCTTTCCTTTGAACGCGCAGCAGATTGCCTGTTAGCCAGAATCCTGCAATATATATATATATATATAAACAACATATCTTAATCACCTAATTTACATAAATAAAAGAATGAATTTTCTCCAAAGGAACAATCTAAAAGATGATAACAAAGATTGTCCCTTTTTCCTATTATAAATTTATAATGGGTACCAAACTGACAAGACCCAAAAAAAGAAAAAAAAAATCTTTGCCTGGAAAAAATGAAACATACACAAAGAAATAACACTAAAAAAGGATTTGTCTTTGCTAAAGAGGAAATCACAACAAAGAGAAACCATGGTCAATCTCTGCAAACATGATGGAAAAACAATCAAATTGCAAAGGAATATCGAAAACAAAATACATGAAACAGAAAGGGACATAAAGGTTAGCAGAAAATACCTCTTAGCTCTCTTGGGATCAATCAGAGCCAGTTCAGCTAGTCTATCGGGAGCCATAGCTTTCTTAACACCATCCACAGCCATAACAGAGTCTAGGTCAAAGAGTGCAGAAGTAGACCCATCCATGGAATTACTGTGCCTATGGTGTGCTCTCTTCTCACCCGCCACCAATTTCCCGCCAGATTTCTCTTCAGCGGCTCCGGAAACTGCGGGTCCAGTCAACCCGAGTCCATCGAAGAAATCGGAATCGACGGAGAGGCTGCGGAGGTGGGAGGAGATTTGCCTAGGGTGAGAAGGGCGAGGTTGGCCATTGGATGAGGAGTCGTCTGAGGAATCAGCGGGGATGGGTATGACATGAGAAGGGGAGGGATTGGAGGGAGGTGCGGGGAGGTCGAGGGAGGAGAGGTCGACGTCGGAGACGTCCCAGAGGAAGAGATCATCAATGCGGAAGCCAGTGTCAGAGTGGGCACGACGGTGATGGGGCCCTCGCGGGGGCATCTGGTCTATGTCCGCAGTTAGTTTCGGTTCCATTCCTGACTTCCCTTCTGGGTATCGACGGATGAAAGAAGTGGTGGTGGTGGTGAGTGGTGACGACTTGGGGGAAGATCCTGTGACATATAAAAAAGCGGTATGGAGTGAGAACTGGACAGTTGGGGTAGAAGACTTTTCTACTCTTTTATTCTTCCAACACAAATCACCATTTTTTTATTCATCCTTTTCTTTTCTTTCCTCTTCTTTCCTCTTTCTTTCCTTCTTTTGTTGTTTTTCTCTCCTTTGTTTATCTAAAATAGGATTTAATTTATATATAAATTATGCATACTATATTTATCTAAAAT